CAGGAAATACACCTGATTCTGGAGATGCTCTTGATGAATCAACAGATAGCGGTGTAAGTGGTCCTGCATCATTACCACCAACATTATCAGCAAGTAGTACTGCTAGTTCTTTAAGCAATACAAGTGTAGAGAAACGATCAGTGAGAGAATTGGCAGCTAGTTTAAACAAAAGTAAAACAGAGAGGAAAGAAAATGGTAAGCTAAAAATGCGTTTTTCTATTGCATGTTCAGTGTATATAGTAACCTTATAAACACCACTGGATTCACGCATAATTTTTATTAAGTATCGGTTCCTTGTTAATTCCAAGTATATTGTAAATATGCATGTTGAACCCTCAAATTAAGAATCCTTGCTGTATATATTATTTTAGAACATACCGCACCTGCAGCATGGAGGTCGGTGCTTCAACGTTCTATCAACCAACCAGATATCAAGGTACCTTATGTAATGTCTGATTTTTGTTTTTTTATTTTTTTTTGTTTTGTTTTTTTATTATTTATTCTTTTTATCATTTAATTCAACAAAAAAAGTGCAACATTTGAAATATTATACCTGTGACCTCTTATAAAAGCTTAAAAAAAATTGTTTTGCGCTTGAAATCCATTAACATAAGTTGATAACTTTAATTCTTTTAATATAGATTATATGTTTTGTGATAACACACAGACATCGTTAAAAGATTATAGAAATATCTTAATGTATTATTTTAAGTAAAATATAATTCTGTGCATGCGATTATTATATTTTTAGGTAACGGAAGTGCCGAAAACGGTTGAAGAAAATCGTATAAGTTTTAAACTTCGACGTACTTCATTTTTACGTGATTCAAATTTCAATTACAATAATGACGTAGTTGATGTTTGATCGTGACTTAATGCAGTAATAATTTACAAGTTAATGTCAATGACTGGATGTTTATCAAGATATCTTTCAAAGTATTTTATATTGGGCACAAAATATATACGATGTGACACATTTGTGCCATATAAAATCATATGTAAAAACAAGTGCTAACATAATATATAAGGACAGGGTACTGGGGGTCTCTATAGAAAGTACCAACTTATTATTAAGGTGGCATTAAAAATCTTATAGTTTTTTATAAAACTGTAATTTTTATGAGGTTTATCTTAATTTAGAAGTAAGTATTTGCATTTAATGTACTAAAATTATTTAATATTTTCATTGCAATAAGTTAATACACTTACTTCCATAAAAAACATATTAAATACTTCTACATTCCTTCAGATTCTTAGAAAGAGGTCTGTTTGATATTTTCAATGATATTATTTGAAAGATGAACCATGTTATGTTTGTTTTAACATTCAAATATTTATATATTGTTTGTCTGTACATTTAAATTATTAGACTATATTATAGATTATAAATTACATAATTTTAATTATTTTAAGTGTATGACTGCTGATCTGTTACCAAAAAACGAGCACAATGTATTCTTATCGATATTAAACAATATTTGTTCGTATTATTTAATCAACCTCGGGATGTCTTCCGAAATCAATTTTTATAATTTCATGATAGCTATTTGGATTTATTTTTAACATAACCAGTTGTAACAGATCTGTGATCGTTAAAACATAATTTTATTTAAATCAGAATAATTATTGTTTATAATTTTTATATTTGTTTTCATATAACTTTTATTAAATTATATTACCTTTTATTTAATGTTCCTTAAATACAATCGGAATTGATAAGTGCACAAAGTAAATTTCAAAAATCATAAAATATATGAAGTGTGCCATATAATATAATATAAAATAACAAATGATTTGTTTTCCATACAATAAAGATTTAAAAGATTTTTTGTAAAAAGATATGATACTGTCAATGACTATCATTGATTTATAAAATTTAGTAACAAAATATATAAACATTATATAATGCATATATAACATAATATGCACGAGCAGAAGAAAACTAAACCAAATTTTTAACTAAATTAATTAGAAAAAGACTATTATTATATTCCAAGAATTCTTTTGAAATATTTGTAAGCTGTATTTGCTATTTTATATCTTGTTGAAGATGTATTATACTTAATAATAATTTAGTAAAGTTTTCCTGCTATATATGTCCTCTTATAAAGAAGCAGCTTTTTTACAAACAATTTTTTTGTATGATGTAAAAATATATTGCAAAATATGAGCATAATATAATTCAATTTACATAAACACATTAAAAGTTTTTGAACAGCAAAAGACCTATGTACATATACGTGTAAAAAAGTTACACATAGATAAATTAGCCATAATTATAGTTGCAGTTCTTATAGACAAATAAATATTTGAACATCTATTTGATATTGGGTTTATACTAATAATTATGACTAACAAAATAGATATTTAGAAATATATAACAATATTGCATGTTAAACAGAAAATATCCTTTTCCAAACATAATTAAACAAATTGTGGAACAAAATGTGATTGTTGTATTTTAACAAATCTGAATAGAGTTAACACTAACTTTTACAGTTACAGTCATAATATATTGTATGGATTGAACATAAAATTTAAAAATTACTTAAAGACATTCTTTTTATCAGGTATCTATTTATTCTAAATTTTACTAAATACAAATTAAATTTATAAAATATTCAAGAAATAAATGTAAAAGATTTTCAAATAATGTAAGCAAATCAGTATCATAAAAGGTAGCTAATCATGATGTTACTTAATAATTGTATGGTCATTGATAAATTTATGATTTAGTTATTTCTATGATAAAATAGTATTTATAAACATGTATGTACTTTGAATTTTGCACGAGTGCATACTATTATTAACAATAATTTGTACACATATTGTATTACAGGTGATTTTTACAAATCTAAAAATACAGGTAAATAAACTATATGTTTATAAAAAAATATTGCGTTGGATTTTATAAATGTAACATAAGAATGAAAATTTAAACAACTGTGCCAAAAACAAAATCATTTTGTACATCTATAAAAGTTTGTTAGAATTTAAAAAATGATTTATATAAAAGTCACCTTTTGAATTTCGAAATATTATCTTTTTTTATATCATATTAATTATTATTCTATATATTAAAAACAAATCACCTGTAGTAAACCATACTTTAATGTGTAAATATATTAAATGCAATTATAGTATTTATGTATCAATGGGTGAGTGATATAATATTTAACATGTACACACACACTATACACACGCGCGCGTACATAGCACTCTTTCTTCATTACATTCCTGTATTTATATTTATGCATATATAATATGTTGTACAATTAAGCGTGTTTCAAAATCTGCTATTGATTTTATTAGTATCATCCAATAAATATTAATATTTGCAGATTTTGATACATGGTTTATTAATCATGCAATATAATTCACTAGTAAATAAAGATTCCTATTACATATACAGTATTGATTGTTATTCTCATTGGATATAATAGCATTGTATGTTTGAATAATTTTAATGATTAATTTTGAAAGATATATCAACAATCTAATATAATGATAATATAAATTTATGATTATTATTTCAATAGATTTTTTATATTAAAAGTGTGAAATGATATTCCTCAATACAATAGTTATGAAATTAAAATATATTTTAGAGTAGCTGTACAATTCTAATCATATTTTTAAGCTGAACATTTAAAATATATAAATTAGTAAAATTAACAATTTTGTAAGTGTATTGTTACTGGTAACATTTTTAGAATATTGAGCATTAAGTTGTATTAAAAATGTATGTAATATTTATTAAAATAAATATGAAAAGTTATAAAACCTATAAATTATAAGATGAGTGCGCGTGCGTGAAAAATTGTACGAAATCTGGCACATTTCCATAATTCAAGAGATGGAAGTATAGCAGTAGAAGGTTTAAGGAAATAAAGTGTATAAAATTCCGTTTACGTAGGAAATGTTAATGAGTTTCGTTATATGTTTTATATTAGTAAGCTGAGAAGGTGTAGAAATGTCACGTTCAAAATCTGAAAAGATCGGAAATGGTGGTAAATGTGATTTAAGTATATGGACACGTGCGATAACAGCGAATTCCGAATGGCCGGATAAAGTAAACATAACCACACTTTAATTAATTACGTTTACCATTTATTTTCATAGTTATGTTCACAAATTTTTTATTCGATTTAGGAAGAATTTCTCGATGTTATATATTGGGCTAGACAAGCGATTGGCATTATAGTTGGTATAGGATGGGGTCTTATACCTTTAAAAGGTTTCATAGCTCTGTTACTGTAAGTTAAAATTATTTTACATGGACATGTCAAATAATATATAGTTATAAATCTATATGTATACATCTCACATTTATGGCTTAATATTTCAGATTTGTATTAGTTAATGCAGGTGTTACATACCTATATTTTAGCAATTTTCAACAAATTGATGAAGAAGAATTTGGAGGTATATGGGAATTAACTAAAGAAGGATTTATGACATCATTTGCTGGTTTTTTGGTAATTTAAAGTTATTTAGTATTGTTTGCTTTAATATTAATTATTTATAATTTCATAATAAAATTGTTATGCATAGGTCACTTGGATTATTATATATTCAGGACTACATTTTGATTGATCATTTTCATAATTATTATCATAGTAATACGACTGATAAGAGCATTGATGCACATAATATTTTTTAAAGTCAAGTGCTTCATGCATATTTGCAATTTACCTCAACATTTTTATCAAGAGCAATTTTTCATATGAATAATATGTGCTTTGGACTTGCAGCGCATTTAGTAAGGACATAATAGAATTACTCATTATTTACTTAAATAATTTGTTACATATAATTAAACATTATTACAAAGAAAAGTATTTATCTATCAAGAAATTATTTTTTTTTTCTGCATAGAAAGTTATGCATTGTGGTTTAAAGATTGATTATTTGTTACTAAAAACAATGTTTTTATCTGTTTATTAGGTATAAAGCATTTTTATTTAAAATTTAATTCTTTTAGTACATATCATTGATATAAATAAGTATTGTAAACTATGTTATAAAAACATACATGTTGGATATGCCAAATCAGATTATATATCTTATTATATGCAGATAATTAATATAAATAAACATTTTAATAACTATATTGCTCAATATTTGATTAGATTTAATATTGATTGTATTATTTATGAAATTTTTATACCCAATACTATTTCCACTATTTAAATATGTTATATCTTACAATTAATGGCCTTAGGTTTTATCTTAACAAGTATAAGATTATTATATGAAAAATAAGTTTCTATGTAAATTGAAATATCAATACAACTTTGTGTACATTACATTTCATTGATAATTTATTTGAATTTTTATCAAAAAAATAAGTATTTTAGTTAAAGATAACTAATAAAGATTTTTATAGACCCAAGGTTAATAGTGTTTAAGCGAAAATAATATAAATAAGAAAATTAATTAATATAAAGTTATAAATATCAAATAGGATAACAATATTGCTCAAACTTCATATATGATAAAATATTTAACATGTATAAATTATTGAAAACATGTTAATAAAATGTGTTTAATATATTTATAAAAAATATATTGGACTTAACCGATCATTAATCGTTTCCGTCCTCGTAATTGCACTTCCTTATATTTAAAAACAATTTCTTGACATTGATTTTTATTTGCATAATGTTTCTGATAAGTGTCAAATATTTTTGAAAACAGAAGAGGTATTTCTGAATGTGCACTTAATAACGATCGTTCGAGGACATACAAGTCGACTGCTTTATCCTCCACACTTGATTCTATACGAGCTAATCCAAAATCTATTATAACAAAATTGTTTGCAACTACAAAAAAAAGGAACAAATATAAATATTAAATGATTAATATAATGTTAATGTTATAATTATGACATTATAATTGTATACCATCATATTTTTCAAGATGAACGTTCTCGTTAATATTCCTCAAAAGTACATTTGAAGTAGTTAAATCTCCGTGAATTATATTTTTTGAGTGTAACTTAGCAATTAGTGTTCCAAGTCCTTGTGCTATAAAATTTAGTAAATGATTAATATTTATTTCCTTTAAAACATTTTCATTGATAAAATCTTTTAATACTATTGCATTTTGTATGTATTCCATATAAATGCATCGTCGCTCCAAACTCGTCAAATATATGGCTGGTGTTGAGACTCCTTAAAAGAAAAAAAAGTATTTGGAAAAAAAGAAATACAAGTAGTTTCACTAAATTCGATATTTATGTTATTTTACCTGCTGCTTTAGCGCGAATTATAGCACGACATTCAGCTTTTATTCGATCTTTTGTAAGACGCATATCTAAATCTGTATGTCTATATTTCTTTTCGAATCTTTCTTTGACTAATGTAGGTTTTCCTAAATAAACGGTCTTATACACACGTGCTTCAGCACCTTGAGCTATTAATTCGAAATCATTTGTATTGCTCAACATCTGAAAATATGGGTTTTGCATTTTTGTTTTTTCTATTTACATAATTTTTTATATTTTTCAAATGGTACTTTGAAAGAATAAAAATAAATCTCTTTAGAAGCATAATATAATAGCATTAAAATTTACCTTTAACAATAAAAAAATTACTGTTAAATTATTGATATAAACAATTTGAAATGTAATTAAAATTAAAAATAATATTTAATATTTTATGCATTAAAAAAATTGGAACGCGACTAATGTGTAAGAATTTAGAGTTAATAATGTATTAAATAAATTACATTTTTATGTATAATTGGCATCCAAATGACAAGTTACTATTTGTGAGAAAGGAAAGATGAAGTCATTCGCGCTAGCAAGGGCAAGATGAGGGCGAAACGCGAATCGATCGTTACCCGAGAGCGTCCTGCGCGCTAATCGCTATCCCGGCGCTAGTATTCGCCCATACTTTGTTCCTATCGGATTGACAAGCTAATACTGTGCTTTTCGCCGGATTGACAAGCCAATACTGTTAAACTTACAGAGAAGCGCTTTATCATTTAACCGGAAAACATGAGAGACGAAGTGAAGATGGACGCGAATCGGCTAATCGCCGAAGTTTATAAGCGGCCAGCACTTTGGAACCAAAGGCATATCTCTTATCACAATCGCGAGGTGACGAACCGCGTTTGGATGGAGATTGCGTCGATATTCAAGTTGCCCAGTAGGTGCATTGATGAAATCGTTTTTCATATATATCATTCGCGCGCGCAATTTTACGATTCGTTCTATCAAAAGATTTTTGGTCTCACTGCTAGTAGTGTATAGTCATATAAATATGAACTTTTACGATCACTATTAGAATAAAATAATTATTACAATATTTATATTCATATTTAAGAACAATTTTTTTGTTATATTCATTATATGTTTTTGTTATATTATCTAATTATTTAAGTTTCTGGTAGCATAAGATACATAAAGCTTAACTTATTATGTCTTAACATGCAAAAAATATACATGTTCACTTTAAAAGTACAAATATTATTTGTTTTTCTTAGTTTGTATTTTGTAATGTACTCGCTAATACGAATAGCGACTCAGTTAACCTTACTTTTTCACAATGTTACCTTACTGAATATATTGTACTTTAAATCAATTTATATGCTAAATTTAATATATAAATCTTAGAGTTATATATAATTTTACTTTATGAATCATTAATAACTTACAATTTGTTGTTGTTTATAGTATTATAGCTTGTGAAGATTTAAATTGCAAGTACAAACTTGATAGGTAAAAACGCATGCGTACAAGCAGTCAATAAATTTTGACTACCATATTTATGAATTATTTTCGTTTCTTTTAATTCTTGTCACTTAATTATTGATTTATAAATGTATTTTATGAAAATTATTTGTTGCATCAATATACTTTTATATATAAGTGCAAATTATATATAATCGTATGTGTATATGCGCTCGCGCGTGCGCCCATGTACGTACCATAGTACTTTATATGTAATACAACTTTTTAGTAACAATTAAATCCATTTGTTTAAATTGATAGAATATTTTACAAATATAAATTACTTATTTAAAATACATAAATAATTAAAATATGTTACTTCTACGTTTTTCAGAACCAGTATTAAAAGCAAAATGGAAAGGTTTACGAGATACTTTCCGGGCAGAATTAAAAAAAGACCAAGTTTATCGTAAAAGTAAATTTCATCGAAATAGGCCAGTATGGATACATTTTAAAAGTTTGCAATTTTTAAAAGAACAAATGTTACCCCGTCCTCCTATTTGGGAACGAAGTAATTCTTGTCAAGACGAAGATCGGGTGCCTAGTGAAGGTGAGAACGATGGAGCGCTGATACAGAATGGTTCGTCGGTAACAAACAGAAGTGTGGAGGACCGAAATACAATTGCAAATCATCTGCTGTCGATAAATAACGATAACGGATTAAAAATTGATACTGTCAATCACATTGATGTAAAACAAGAACCTGAGGAGAATTTTGACAATCTAGAGTTCCAAAGTGTTTCCGACAATCTTACTGAAAACGAAATGATGCTACAAAATATTTCACCAGAGCAGGTGCTCATGGGTGACAATGATACTAACATTGGTATTCCTGTAGATCCCTTAGAAGGCAACCGTTTTGATGACAATTATTATTTCCTTATGAGTCTTTTACCTCATATAAGAACATTACCTGCTGACAAAAGAATGTTACTCAGAATGCAAATGCAAGAATTGGTTTATAAGGAGGTTTATAAAAAAAATTCGGATAGCGTTACAGCATCGTAAAAAGATATTAAAACCGAATATTTTTAACAGAGATATAAATACGTGTTTTGTTGAAACCGACTAAATTTATTAGAATATTATTTTACATTGTGATACGAAGCAAATTGAGTTTTAATTATAAAAATTAACCAAACAATTAATAGGTTGAAAACGATGACAGCTAATAGTCTTATGTAAATTAATATTAATTTAAATAAGTTAATACTCCGTAGGTTGAGAAACACTGGTGCTTTCTCGTACCTGCGGGTACGACCGTGATGTTTAGTGTGGTGTATATAGGTGTAGTAAACGTATTCGTGTATTCACGAACATTCCTGTTTCGTTGCGCATGCGTACCTGCTACGGCTCCTCTCGGCTGATCGTTTCGTTCGTTTTCGTGTTACGATTCGGTTGTGCTTTCGTTTAGTTTGCTCGCGATTGCCATAAGACTGTTGTGTTCATGTATCTGTTGCTTCGAATTCGATGCTGTGAATTTAACTACGTGTTTTCGCGGGCATACCTGTCTGCATCAAGGATACTTACTGTGACGGTTTTCTGTGTGCGTCTATTAGCTGAACATGGCTTAGTGTATACAGGTGTTTACTTCAGGTGACAGCTAGAAAGGTGCATCTGCCTCGGATTTTTCATTTTCTTATGTTCTATACGTTCCGCAGTCAAGCGTTCGTAATTAACTTGTTCACTCCATTGCGACCGATTATTCGAAGCAAAGGAACTTCGTCTCATACATCAGTGAACATAATTTCTCTGCAGTTTTTTGGAATTACCTATCGTTCAATTCAAGGTGAGTCAACGAACGAATAGTAATGCAAGGAACTGTTTATTTTCATAACTTCCATCTTCTCAATATTGCAAGAAGTATACTAATGTCGAATAATTGGTAAAGAAACACAAAGCATTGATTACTTTAATGAATAGCATTAAATCCAATATAGCATTTGAATTTTATTTTTAAAATTCAAAACTTGTGTCATTTATTTTAGTATAGATTAACAGTAAATAAGTTTCGAATAATAGTTGATCAGAAAATAACATGTATTGCTTGGATGGACAAGAATCCGTGACATTTATATGTTATTTTATTGAGTAATAAATTATATTTTTAATAATATTTCATGTAAAATATGTATAAATAACAGAGACGACTATTGTAATTGGAAAACGTTGAACGTTTACGCTGATCGTTATGAAGAAGATATTTCCAAATTAAAAGAGCTTGTACAACCATCTTACTTTCATGAGAATCGGAATAATGACAAAACTAACAATACTCCCATGTCATCATAATTAAGGTTAGAAGTATTATACGCTGTTGAGCGTTAAATATATTCTTCGTCTACACTTTCGAGCTTGCTCTAAATAGCGTACTGGAATCTCCCGGCGATTCGAAACGCATCTACGCATTCCGTTCCGAGTGACAAGTACCTGGAAACCGAGACGCCAGTTATCTCGTGGATAATTTTCGTAACTAGTCATAATAATGCTAATAAAGATCTTTGTATTTAAAACAACACTGCGTGTATTAATTTACAATCGACGAAAAGTAACACAGGAGAGTTTCGTATAAATTAAAAAAATTTCGATGTTTATACTAATAGTCTGTTAACTTGTAATTGCATCTATTACAAGACTTTAAATACAAATATATAATTATTTAATTATCACATAGTCATTTTAGAGGTAAATAATTACAAATGATTAATACGAGAATATGTAACAAGTAAAAAAATTGATCAGTGGTGATAGCACGTGTGTCTAAGAAATATTCGTTTTCAACATGACGGCTGAAAAATGACGCAAAATATTTATATTATATTTTATAAAAACTGTCTTCTTTTTATATATGTTTCTATATATTTTATATTTTAAAAAAAGGCATTCTTACTGTAAATAAATTATACATTTCAGGGTTTAAAAGAGTCACTATGTGATGCATTTCACTTAACTTTCATATCTTTTGTTAAATCGGTGTTCAAACTAATAGCTATTCCAAATTTAGTGCCTGCATTAATGGGATAACGTAATATAAAGTAAACAAATTTTGATTACTTTTCAAACAATAACACTCGATTGAAATTTGATTATTAAAATACAATTTTATCAATGATACTCCCTTTTATGATTATTTCCTTGATTATTTTAATTGATACGACTACACTATATAGGGCTAACATATGCAAGATATGTTTAACAGGATATGAAAATCGATTGAATTAATAACATACAATCCTGTATGATATAATTCAATATATACATAATCCATGATTACTTTGCTCAATATTTTTTGTGGAATTACTGTTAAGTATTTGTGTTATGCATATAATGTATATAAGTTAAATAGTGGATTTTTATTTTTTTAATTCGATGAAATTTTTACTTTGATCTACAATAAGCTTTAATCGATCACATGTTTATTTCAAGTGATCCTTATTTTTGTAATATAAATAATAGTTGTCTTTGTTTTCTGACTTCTTACAATCTCTCAAAAAGATGACTCACCATGAAACATATGGTTATATTTCTTTTTACTGTCCTCAATCAGTCATTCTATGTTACTGAATGTACACACGTTTGTCACAGTCATGACTGACATACATTTCTTCTACGAGTCAGTAGAATGAACGGAAAACAGTCAGAATTTTCCCTTTTATCTCACGTGCAATCTCGGAGGATTGATATTTTTTAAATTATTGCTTTCGTTTAAAAGAAAAAGGAAAATATCTCTTGACCTTAAACAATACGTACGTACCGTGACGTACTAGCTCGACTTTTGTTGTATCGTTGAAGTCTGACTCGGTGTACCATGACTAGTGCGGCTAGGTTCTCACGCTTTTCTCGGACTCTAAGCTACATAACGTTGCATATTCATTAAATCACATTCACATAGATTGTAAATACGTTACTCTGTAGAGTACGAGGTGTTACGGATAAAAATTTCTCTCTGTCTTTCTCTCTGCCTCGAAGGCTTGCCGTTAGTTCGCCGGTCAAGAATGTTAAAAAGATAAAACGGAGATCATGTTACATTCCATTTTATCTTTTTATTCCTTGTTGTCTTACTCTCTTACCGTTTCTGAGCGTCTGACTCATTAGAACGTTTTTCAGTAACGACCGGTTCTACCGGCGAGGCAGTCAGTGATCGAAAGAGTTCGGGCATCCCTCGGTTCTTCTTGATCATCGAGCTTCGGCTCCAATCTGGACGATAACGAAGGATGGTAAGCTCCCGTTCGCCTGGTGTAACTGTCTCACCAGCTAACAGCGTGGCTACATCACGTGTCGTCGTGTCTGACAGTGACGTAGCTCGTGATGGTGACGCCATCTTACCGAGCACCCGCCAATCATATCGCGTGGAGGATGAGGGTGGTCATGTAAACGGAGCTCCTAGTGCTGTCGAATGGAGCCAAAGCGGTCCGCCCTCGCTTTCTATGTCGGTCGACCTGCATAACCTGGTCAATCCAAATCTCCAAGACTCCGGGCATTATTCTGCTAGTCCTGAACACGCCGATGCTACCGTGCCACCTAACGTTAAGTCTGCCAAAAATCACGACGAAGAAGAGAGTTACGAAGCGTTTGGATCTGTCGAAGGTGATGCTGATGACGGGGTGGAATCACCAGGTGGTAGCAGTTCTGCACCTTCACCTACGGGTACCAATTCTCACAAGTAAGTTCATTGCTTTCTTTCTTCCTACATACACACGCGCGCGCGCGCGCGTGTGTGTGTGTGTGTGTGTGTGTGTTGTGTGTAAACAGTCTATGTATCGATGTTATATATATACGTCTATATATGTATATATGCATACACTCTCCGTATATTGATCGGTTATGTGTAAAAGTAGCGATATTATACTAGTTTGAAGGGATCACTAATTTTGCGCGCGAACTTTTTTAAATTCGGCAGGCTTCAGTTTCCGATATGACCTGTAGAGGGTACCTTGGTCGTTCTGTACACGTGCATGAATTAGTGAAATAGATGCATTCATATAACGTAAATATATTTTATATATCGCATCTTTTTTTAGTGAAACATTGAATGATATCTGAATGTTTGCTTAAAATGATTTATGTATGTGAAAATATTTTATAGTGTAGCTTTCATTTTGTATTATACTTGTTTCAAAGTTGCACTACCGGAATATGCTTCGTCGAAGCACATTGAAATTTAATACAGATTTTCTCACATCCTGTATGTATATCATTCGAACAAATCTATTCTCACAATTAAATTAGTGCGTTGCTATGTTGATTTCATGCGTAAAAAACTTTCACGTGAAAGGAGAAAATATAACCGAATATACTATTATGTTCCGTACTTACTGGTATTATTAATATTATCTTTTGCGTTTTCATCCGAATTGTACTGCGTATATTCCATTTCCGCATATTCAGAATCATTCTTAGACTTTTTACGTACACGTGTATTTTATAATTATGCAGTATTTATGTACTTTTATATTCTTTATTTTTTTTTTCTTTTTTCATTTTGTTTATCGTATTTATATTTTAAAATTATCGAAAAAGTTTCTCACCAGTAAAAACACAGAAACTACTTTAAAACATTGGAATTTTAAATCACGTAATTTCGTGACATCCTTCGACAATTATTAATTATCGTTGCAAATCTGCGTGCTTTATCAAGACAACGTGATTCTCTTAATTAATTTAACAATAATGTATTTTGTAAACATTTATATCTATCATTACCACTTAATACTTGATATATCAATATACTATTTATATTTAATATCGTGAATATTTATACATTAATTAAGTAAATTAATGAAAAGGCAGTAGTAAAGATTATAAATTAATCGTGGTTTTAGTGTATATATTTTACTTGTTTATTAATAGAATTATAAATTTTTATTTTAGAATATGACAGTATACTATTATTAGGGTTTCTAAATATACATACGTTATTCAAGTGCCTTTGTTCTGTTTTCAGTAGAAATCCAAGAAGCCCTAATTCAACCATAGGAAGGCATTCTTGGCTACGAACGTCACTTAGGCGAACACCTCCGTGGTAAGTTTTTATTTGTTCTTTTTCTTCCACAAATTCCAAACTTTTTAATTGTTTATTTCGTATTTCCTTCAGCTGCTATGGAAACATTCATTCAAATAGTTCAAATAAGTTAAAATCTCATCATTTCGAAATAGTACTTGAAATTGTACTTTGAAATACCTTCAAACTTCTTATTTCAACCTTCATATTCGTTAAACTAAAAGTTTGGATATTTAAACTTTCGAATGCCATTTAAATATCATTTGTTTAATATTTAAATTTTTATATTCAAATATTTGAATATTTGAATTTCTGGATTTTTATTGTCAAATGTGTGCCTCTTTTAAAATCAAGTTTATAATTATTTGAATATTTAAGGTTGGACATCTAAATACTCGAGTCAAGAAACATAAAAATGGGACAAATTATGACATATTCCGTTGAGATGAATGCTCCCTGAATGTAGTAGAAGAGTTATATGAGATGGAACACAATGACGAGGTTGGCGTGCGAAAAAATTGCTCCTGCGAAACCGTCTGATAAATTATGGCCGTCTGGTCGTGTTAATAGACCGAGACAGATAAGAAACTCGTTTAATTCCCGAGAAAAGGTATCCAGAGTCATCTACAAGAAACTCGTTAAATTTTTTCAGGAACATGTCTGTAACGATCTGTACGACGCGAAGGAAGTCGTTACCAGTAGTATATGCGAGGAACAATGTTAGATAGCGCACACAATACTTCTCCATTCTTGTATCCACGATTGCGTCACAAGAATTTTGTTGGATAATATTCACTTCACGAAGACAGTTGGTTGAACTATATGATTGCAACTAACTGTACGGTATTTGCATTTGTTCACTGCTTCCGAGTCGTGACGCTCGACTTGTTATAAATAAACAAGTTAGTGGTATTCTCAGAGTTGTATCCGGTATAAGGGGTCTCGGATGATTTGAGCTATTGATTGTTAGAAAGAACGAAGAGAAAAAAAGAAGAAAGTGCTTTCGCGAATGGAACGTTTCGCTTCTACTTTTGTGATCGGATGCTAAAGTAGGAAAAATATAAATGGACAAGTGTCTTGCCTAGATTTATGTAAAAGATCATTGTTTAAGTTGCATATCGCATGTTTACTAAAGACGTTAGAATAGAATAGATCGATTTGTTAATTCTCTTTCAGATTATATCGTTAATAGATACATACATAGTATTTTCTTGGCTTCGCTTACTATTTCACAACGAATCTTAGCCTCCATCTATTTTCTCCGACTATTTGATTCATTTATAGAAATCGTAATTTGGCTCGTTGTCGATTTAGGTATTTACCTTGTTGGCAAATAGAATACTAATTCGTTCAAAAGTTTTTCTTTATAAGATCGGTGATTTCGAGATTGGAGTAAATATAAAAACGCAAAAGAATCGTAAAATTAGATGTAAATGTTAAACGAAAGAGTAATTCAAAGCTGAAATTCATTAACAGTATTCTAACAGTTATGTAGCGAAAAGTTCTCTTACGTAAGAATATCTTAGCATATTTTTCACGGTCATGTTATTTTTTTTTCCAGTTCCGGAAGGAAGAGACTTAGTTCCAATGCATTAGCAAGGTAAGAACGAGTCGTTAATTATTTGGGTTCTACTTACGATAACAACGCACAATGCATTACGTAAATCGTTTTTGTTTAACCATACCTTGAAAATCGTTTTAATCGGTGATTAAATAGTCTTGCGAGTTGAGAATACTAGTGAAATTTTACATGAACAAGTCCAAGCGTTTTGTGTGTTTTTAAATATCTTGATCGTGGAAAGGTACCTTAAAAAGTTGGGAAGGATATTTTTATTTCATCCCAAGAGTTGGTAAGTTGACGTCATGGGATAACAATAGCAACGATGTAACTCAGCAGCGAAGAATTTACAATTCATAGAAAGAACTTTAGTGTCCTTATTCAACTGATAATTTTCAAGTCGATCCTTTCACGAAACGCAAAACGATAGACTTTCTAAAGCGTGGGCACTGCCTGTACACGCACTTCGACATCCCATTTCCTTTTACGTTTCCATAAATGCTTGGAATATACGTTTTACCTCATAATCTATATTTATCCTCTTACGAAATTTTACATTTTTAAATGTATCCTACTTCGAAAATGTCATTGTCTTGCTAACGTTGCATTTTTCATTTCGATCGAGTCGTTACTTAAGCGTCTCGAATAATCCAAAAAATATTTTAAATGTTATCGAATATTTATCTTTATATGTCGAGTATTTAATCGAATATTTAATAATACTCCGTATTTAATTATTCCTTTTACAGTCAACTTTACCGAAGCGGCAGCTTTAATAGCTCTGGTAGAGGCTCCAACTGTGATCCCGCGGACGATATGTACAGCGATGTCTCCCTCGAGGATGATGTCATTGATCTCAATCATAGAGTAAGTATCATTCACATTATCTATTAACGTAACTTAAATTCGATTTACTACTTAATACACGTTATTTTGTTACGCTTAACGTCACTATCGATATACAGTTTCTTTACCACATTGATGATGTCAAAATTTATGCATGAGAAATGACGTTTAACCTCAAGTCTGTAATTATCATAAAACAAAATTATCGCTCTTGCGATAGAAGGGTGAAATCTGCAATTTCGATGAAATTACAGAAAGCATATTTTAAACTCACTGTCTGACGAAAAGAAAGAAACCTTATAAATTATCAGGATTTTAGATGTGTGCAACTAATTCTCCCTATCGGTCGCCACCTCGATCAAGATCTCCTATTGCAAATCCAACAGATGATAGATTCCATCAGCAGCATCCACCGCATCCTCCACCTTACATATACTATCCGCCACCTTATCCGCATTTGAATCCGTACGGCCCTTATCCGTATCATCCAGGAGGATTTTATTCATCGCCATACTGCAACGACGTAGCCCAAGAATCGAAAGGTTCCTCGTGGCTCAGCATTATATTACTGATATTTTTGTTGCTGTGCGTCATTAGCATTGTTTTCTATCGGTCCCTGTCTCGCGATACTCGGCGAAGATTAAACGCCAGGCTGCCCACCTTAGTGCAACCAGCACAGGTAAATCTGGCTTTCGGTTATTGCGTAATTGTCGTTTATTTTCATTGTCATACTTCCCCACTAGCGTTACGCTGTCGTGATTGCTTTGAAAGCATAGAGACCGGTTAATTACGAATCGTAAAATTAGACGGGTAATGCTAGAAAAAGATGGTTGGAGATTTTTAGAGTGTAAAGTACTCGTTGGTTACTTTCGATTAACGTAAATCGGTGATTCAACTTTGTCGGAGCGAATCATGGTTCCGGAATGGTGAATGACTAACTTACTTCTGAATTTAACGTATTCTTTTCGAAAGAAAATATAAAGTTCATGTTAATGCGTCTTCTTATTTATGATGGTAAACCTGTATTAGTAAAATTATAAACAGAAGCAACTTCGTTGTTACATTCACAAAATTCGGTTTTAGATTTACGTTAACTACTCTATAAATCTTGAACGTTTCTTCTGTAAACCCCACGAAGAATATTAAAAATTAATAGAATGTAATTATACTTTCAATGAATTTGGAATAATAATCTAATAATCGTAATTCAATAATTGAAACGCGATTTTAATTAATAATTAAAAGATTAATAATAAATAGAGAGCACAAACGTTTCTCACATCCAGGATTATAATCGTGGGGACAGGGTCCTTTAAAAAAAGCGATTTCCTGACCGAGCAGCCCCTAAAAATGGTGATCTTTCTGAACCTGTAGACCGCGGAGAGAAAAAAGGATGCAAAACAGAATTATCCAGCTGAATTTATTTTATATTCCGATGTAACTGATCCGCTCGATAGAGATTACAATGTTTTCTGCGAAAGATGTGAGGACTGTCGTTCCTCGTCAGACAACACGACAATGAAACGTGAACATTACTCGATTTGCGAACAGGTCGGAAGTAAAAATGAAGGGGTCATAGAATATGGAACAGAGAACAAAATCAATGTTGCTACAGACATATCGGACACATTTATGAGCGAAGTTAGACGATCGGTTGCTTCCTAGAACGATCAAAATTGGACAACAATTTGTTATTAGATAAATTATAACCAGAGTCGAGATTTAATAACAACAAATATATATACATACACGTATTATGCAAATGGCACTTGAGTAAAAACGAGTGGCAAAAATGCAAAAAGTCAAGAAACCAGAGTTTAGTAAAAATACAGAATGCATTCGACATTTGCATCTTTGCTTGATATATCCACTGTTTTTGCATTCATGGCATCGTAAAGTTATAGGCATGGAATTAATTATTACGGTAGATCGAGAAAGGAATTGCATGATTACGAGTAACTGAATGAATTGCACACGAGCAAGGTAACATATTTCCAAGACGTAATGTTTTATTTAACGTAGATTCAATTCCATATTTTCATATGCAGTAAATTATACAGTAAATTATACGTTATTCATAAAGCGATATATATATATATATATATTGCAGGTTTAATGATACTTAATAATGAAGATGAATAACATTCACATATTAGGAAAGTGTAACTGGGATATGGAACTTGACGATGTTCGTTCATTTGTTGGATAAAACATAATTCGAGATTTATTGCTTCTGCTTAATTCCTAAACGCAATTACATATTTTATACATTTCATGTAAAAATGATTTTAGATCTCCTATTAATGTTTATATTTTTATAAAAACATATGATATATACAGGACGTTTTATAGCAAAATAAATGATCTATACCTATAACAATAGAGTTTAGAACAACTAAAATATTATTTCTTGTATTTTTAATATTTAATAATTATCTATCTTTTTTAACAAATCTAGTCTTTTTTTAAAATCATGAATAGAAAATTACACGAGATTGTGAAGTTATGATTGGTATTCTTCATTAGTAATTCTTATAAAAAAAATAGATTATCATGCAAATTTGTGTATTATATTGCATAACGTGACTTTTTAATTAGCGATGCAAAGAAAACTATGAATATTTTTATAGAACTAATAATAAATTAATAAAAGTTATGAAATATATTAGTACAAATAAGTGATCATTAAAGAAGTGTGATAAAATACACTGATACAAAATTCCTCAAAGTTTATTTAATTTTTGGTTTCCAAAAATTAAACTTAATCATTTGTTAAAATAATAGATGACTTTTAAAAAAATTTGCTCAATCAAAATCGCGAAATCAAATATTACGATAATTTGTAAAATAAATATGAAATTTTGTGAAATACATAATAAAACGTAAAATATATTTTTTTCTTTAAATAAACAAATGCAACCGAATGTGATACAAATGTACAATCGGATGACGATAACACTAATATTGGTTGTAATGTAAAACGTTTAACGAACTAAATTATTGAAGTGTTCAAAAGTGAAAAAAAGGATTAATAAGTTTATTGAAATTTGTGTATTTCATAAAGATAAAGTATGACATGTACTAAATTACAATCTGACGGATTTATTGAATGGAGAGGTTGGCCTTTTTTCAATTTTTTTATTATTCTTGTCGTTGTTACGTATCTTGGATGTGCTGTTTATAAGAAATTGACTTATTCTTCGCCTACGGAGGCCACACCACTTCTGGATCTGGATTAATTGTAAAGCAAGGATCATGTGAACTATTTTGTGCCAGAAAAGTCATCATATTTATTCCACACGGTATTTTATGTAATTTTACTTAATAGGTTTTACCAGACTTATTAAATTCATACAGTTTTAAAAATTACAAAAATATCTTGTTTGCAAAATTGAATAAATCTAATACTATTATTATCTTTATTTAAATTTTCATTTATTCGAAATGTTATTTACACCCATTGTTTCTCAAATAGTTTTAGTGTCGAATTTGTTCGAGTGTGATGTAAATCGTGTACTGTAAAATGATCAGGGGCGTACATTTATCTCCGAGTATTTATCACAACTGTAACGTAATTATCAGAACTACAACAGTTTGTAACAAACATTGGTCGGTAACATCAAGTTTTGACGAGTTTAAATTCATATATATTTTTGACATATTTTTCTTTTTTTAAAGAATTCAATAAAGAAATGCTGTAATCCATTGCTGGAAAAGAAGCAGTATACACATTCCGCGCTATATAATTGGATTTCTAAAGTATGCGTAGGGGTAGATGAAATTCTGTTCAATATAGCCTGCCACGCACGATATATACATGATTCAGCGGAGTTAGTCGATACGTAGTATGGAGTGCACAAATAGCCTCTCGGTTACTCTCAGCTTACAGTGGGCGATTGAGACGAACGATTATATTCTAAGTACGCCCAAAGAAACGGATGTGCGCGTAGTGTTGTGGTTCTCTTGGTACATCTTACGTTACTTGTGCGATTGTTCTCAAGATTCATTTTTCTATACTTGGATGCATGAAATTTCGAGGTTAGGTTGTTAGTGACAAGAGTGTTGCCTACAGAGGAGGTTGGTTAGGAAACCGGCGTGCCTGCACGTCGTTCTAACGGAATAATCCTCTGTATCGGATTAGTCAAAGAGGATGACGAGTCTACCTGCCACAGGCGTGACGTGAGAAATCACGAATCAGAATGGATTCAAACAATTACGATGATCAGACAGATACAAGTGCGATTGAACGTTACGATCGCGATAATCGAATAACTTCCGGGGAGGGGCCGTCTCCTGGACCTGGAGCCGGCCTCGAGTATGATTTGTGGGAAGGCCAGTTTCAATTTGTCGGACAGCCGTCTACTCGCGGTAGTCGACTACCTCGTCGTCGTGGTCCTCGGCTTACCGAGCAAGTAAGACAGTGTTTTGAGATCGTGAGATTATTATCTGTATACGATTTCTTCTTTATGATAATATGACAGCGGTAGATCGAATATAAAATAAACCTAAAATATAAACGAGTGAATTGATATTTTTAATTGTAATTAAATCGATGGCAATTCACATTTGACTAAATAGTCTTTAAAACGCAAAAGTAGTTGTAGAGTTTGGTAAAAATTTATTTCAGCGTATCATTGTTCCCGTAATAGATTACGAAGAATTGATGTATTGGCTTATTTGATAAAAGCGGAATAGATAACTGTAGTGTAGGAAACACAGTTTTAAGAGAAGTAATAGATTGATAAAAATCGGGTTAATCAATTCTCTGTGGTTTCAATGAATGCGTTTGGAGAATTTGAGAAATCTAAAGAAAAAAAGCGAGAATGTGCGCATGTAGTGCGCAGTTATTAAACCCTTTACTTTCATTGGTTGAATTTGAATGTGGATTATTCAATCATATTACGTAATCTTTATTTACAAATTGAATATAAATAAAGATAATGCTTATTATATTTATAATTTTATTTTTAAATTTATACGTCATATTATTTTTTAATTTTTTATTTTATGTAGATATAGTTATATATAATTTATAGTCGTGTTATTTGATTGGTGGCGTTAATAATCACAATTTTTATAAAAATGAGGTTATATACTATATATCATATAAATCGGTGGTGTAGATTTTATAGTAAGCTAAATTACGTTAAACGCATGTCTATGTTCAGTATTCTACCGTTGGAAGGTAGTGATAGTCATTGAACATATGGGACGAGCTTATTTTAGAATTGTAAACAACGCGTTGCTAACTTGTTGGGGCTGTTTGAAACTGTATTTAATGGTTAAATGGTTTCATTTATTAATTATATTTAAAATTTGATTTTACAAAATTTAACATTAATGCTATAAAATCTTAATATTAACCGTTTTATCGTTTAGAGTTGAGAATCAGTGGCTTTAAAGTCTATAGTGTGAACTCGCACGTGCGCGAGGTCTTAAATACAAAGCAACCATCGATACTCGACTATACCTTTCATTTATAAGGTTTCTTTATACTTCTATGTTGAGTTTTTGAAAAAATATCTTTATAACTCATAAAAACTATAATTTCTTTTAGTTTGAAAGTGTGAAATGATTGAAAAAAGGTATTCCAAACAGGGATTCAATTGAATAAAAATTAAGAAAAATAATTCCGAAATATTTCATATTTTTCAGGTTCAAATGATTCAAGAACAAATGCATGCTTTAGTAGATACCCAATCGGTTGGGGAAGAACGGTACGCTAGAGCAAAGCAGGAAAATGCCATGTTGCAGGCAAGAATATTAATGTTAGAAGAAGCTGCCAAAGATGCTGAAACTCGCGCCGAAGAAAGGCTTCAGGTAATTTTGATTAAATAAATAATTCTATGTATTTGTGTTTCTATCGGTCGATAATGTTATTGTTACGTAATAGTTTTTATTTTATTATGATTATCAAATGTTAACTTTGTGAAATCGTGATTTATAAAATTTATATGTTATAATTATATTTTAGGCGGAACAACGAAGACATAGAGAGTGGGCAAGTCGTTTAGAACGTGAACGGCAGTTGCAATTAGAAAATTATGCCATCAAATTACAAGCGATAGAATTAGAAGGAACTAATTTAAGGGATGAAATGGCTAGGTTACGCGAGCAATTCGACAAAGTAAAAGCAGAAAAAAGTCGACTAGAAAATGACCTTGAAGAGGCTAGAAGAGAAATAGATACTGCACGCGAAAGTGAGCACCAAGCGATAAGTCGAGCTAATGAAGCTGACTATCAACTTGAAGCTGTTAGAGAAGAACTCTCAATGAAAATCGAGGATCAACAAAAAATAGAGGAATTAATGCAGCAAGTGGCACAACTTCGTGCTCGTAATGAAAGTATGTTTTTTATTAATATAATTGATCAAGATAGTTTACAATAATATTGTACAAATTACAAATTTTTTTTGAAGGTTTAGAGGAATCGCGAGATGAACTACAAGCTGCAGCGGCTCTGCAGGCAGGCCGTGAACTTTTAATGTTAAACCCCTGTAATAATTCTGCTGAAAAAGGACCTAGTCTCGCTGTAGAACTGTTGGCTGGAATAAATCAAGATCAAGTACGTTATATATTTTTATAAAAAAATGTAATTTTTAATTTGCGAATATTATCTTGTGCTTCATTTTTTCCTTTTACTGTTTGGATTTACTACAGATGGATGGTCAACTTCCTGGAGAAAATGGTGAACCCTGTAGTATATCTGAAGTATGTGTTAAATTAAGTTTAAATTATAAATGTATTTATAAATGTGTTTATAATTTAAACTTAATTATATTGATTATTACATTATTCTTTTACACTGTTACAGATAAAACAAGCTTTAAAGGAGCAACAAGAAGTTAATACGCAATTAAGGGCATACATGGATGCAGTCTTATTGAACATAGTTGAGAATTATCCCCAGTTGTTAGAAGTGAAACAAACTCATTGAACTATTACATAAATAGTCAGTTATTGAATTTAATGTTAATTGTTTGAGGCAGTTGTACATTACTTTGTTGAAATTCTTTATTATTTATAGATTTATATATGAGCAATTTTGTCATAGCTGTAAACAAGTACCATATGGGAAAGCAATTTCCGTCCATGTGAACTTAAAATTTTATTAGCGTGTTATAATTGTTGAATTTAAAATTTTCACTGCCATTGTTACTACTCCGGTTGTACGTTTTTAATGCAAAAGGCAGTGAACAAGTGGAAAAACTAAAATAAGTAGTTAAACACGTATGAAAAATTTAATCAAAAAATTACTATATGCTCTACATCGCTCGAATTTTAAAATTGGAGGCCTTATAATGTTGCCTTCGTAGAAATGGCATAAAACTATTTTTGAACACTGAGGAATAGTTAATGCATAACATAATGTATAATGTATTATACATAAAATCATCAAGTTTTCTCCTTATAAGATAAATCAATAAAAAAAAGTTTAAAGACTCTTAGTAAATGTTCAGATATATAAGCATATTTCGGTATTATAAAAATTGTAATGTTAAAAAGTACCTACAAAATTGAATATATTAACATTGTCATCCGCAGTTTACAATAGACTTAAAAAATTTATAGTAAATGATATCAAAAATGTAATTAAATAATTATATTTTACTATTTATAGTTTCACTCTACTTATAAATCCTATACTAATCTATTTTTAAAATTCAAATATACTTTTTAACGAATTATATGCTCAATATTTCCAAACGGATTATGATAATTGTATTTTTTAAATTTTAGAAATGAAATTTAGAAATATTATCTTTGTCAATCTGAATTTTGTAATAAAATAAAACTAATTGTTTTTTATACCTTATCAAGGAGAGAAAATAAAGAAATGTTTATCTCGTAGCTTTTATAATTATTATTAAATAAAAATATAAAAAATTACTAATCAAATTTAGCAGAACTATTTTGTATATAATTGTTAGATACATTTTTACATAAAGAAAGATAATAAAAAGAAATTTGAAATAATAAATTGAATAGTATTTTTTAAATTATCTTATGAAAGAAAAGTGAATATAAAATTAACTAACGAGTACTTCTATACTTATACAGTTCTCATGTAATTTTCTATAAATTGTATTCTCTGGAATGCGCAATTCACCATCGTCAGTTCTCTGAGTTAGCTGATGTATTGCCTGCTAATTAAAATTATAATTCATATGAAATTCCTACTGATTAAAAGATCTTCTACCTCGTAAGCAAGAGAAACTCGAAACAAAAGTACTACGCCTGTGCTTCAATCTAAATTACCAAGTTTCTGTAATTAATTTATGAAGTTTTGTAATGTTTGCAACGCACCCTTAAGGAACTTTCTAATATAATTTTTGAAATAAATTTTTCTTAATTAATTAATCATTAGTGATGATTGCACGGTGTGTTTGAACTGATATGGAAGATATTAATGGTTTTTCAATAATTACTCTCTCTTATGCAATTAACTTATGAATTACATGCACACATTCTAGTTTCATTCATAATTAAATATTTTAACGAAAAATCATGTTGGTCGTTGTCAAATCACGTCCGCCTACATATAATTATTACTTGGCAATTAATTAATTACTTAATTATAACTTAGTAATTTGTTAATTTTTTCCCGCCGAATTGCTTTATTGAGATGTATTAGGAGCACATAACCACAGTTAGTAACCTATTCAAATAAAATCAATAAAATTTAAAACAACTTTGATCAACGCCATCTATGATTTTGGACCAAATGATCAGAAAAGTGATAGGAATATAGAATGCGCAAGGAGGTCGTCTACACCTCGTCACGTGATAGACGAGGACAGAAGACGGCTAGAAAGAGATAGAAAGGCTCCGGCAGAGAAAATTAACTAATTACTCAATTTCTGTGATTAATTTATGAACTTTTATAGCCTTATCAAAAAGCTGAAACTTTGAGCAACATTCCTACGCTACTTTTGTTCATAATTTGTTGCTAATTTGCTTGTTATAAATAATTATTTGATGGCGTGGGTAATTTGATAACAACGACGATCATGGATGTCGGTAATAATATTTAATTATGTTCAAAACTAGAAGCAAAATGTAATCAAAAGTTATATGATAAGATTCGCAAGAACATTGTTTTTATAATGAGTGCTTAAAGTTTCATAAATTAATTGCGCAAAGGATAGTAATTAATGAAAAACTAATGGCGTCTTCTGTGAAGGATCTGGCTTTACGATGCAATTATAAAAGTTCATAAATTAATCACAGATTTTGAGTAATTAGTGAATTTTCCACTGCCGATTTGATTTATTAAAATATATTCGGAGCACATAACCAGAGTTAGTAAACTGACATCAGAGCCATCTATGCTTTTAAACTCAAAGCTCGAGTTCCGCAACGAGAACATAAATGGCTATAATGTCAGCTTATTAACTCTGA